ATTAAAATTAAAATACAAATGTAATTGTATTATAATGTACTAATGCATCATATATCATTGTTAAAATAAAACTTATTTTTCTTTTTGATAGTCCGTATAGTCTCTAATTGTATAGAAACAGTGACGCAGCATAAAATAATATGAACTTAAATGTGTGTATCGATTTTAATCGTTCAATGTCATCTGGCAATGTGTTGTAGAGTAACGAAAATGTATTATACATGGATTCTTGTGGTGAGCTGTTAGTAATGACACCCAATTATGTGATTTCTACAACTGTTGTAATTATAAATATCAGTATTGCTTGAAAATATGTTCACACCATTAAGTAAGTTACTTTTGACAAAAACTATTTATTCATAAATAAACAGGCGATGCAGTGTTAAGATTCCAAGCTCAATGAACAACCGCTTGCACGAATCATGTGGACAGCACTTTTTTTATTATTCGTATAAGTTTTTTCAGCAATCTAAATGTCTGTACACTAAAGGATAAGCTTCCCCAAAATATTATGCCATATCTCAAGACGAAATATACATTTGCAAAATACAAGCAACGCGCTGCATGAAGTCAGAGAGAATTTGAAGGAATTCTGAAAGCGTATTATCATGGATTTAGTTTAGTGCTTAACTTTGTTACATGGATATTCCATTTGAGGTTTGATTGAACTGAATCACCCAGAACATTCGTTACCTTAACACACATTGTTGCTGTTTTCATAGTGACCAAAATATAATCCGATTCGCCTTCCTCACCTTCACAGCACGTTATAAGGAACATTTTTCAGTGTTTCAACTTCTGAGTTGTATGTAATAATGTTATATATTGTATTTATTATTATTTTATGAACAATGTTTCCACTTTTTTCTTCCCATTATTTAAAACCTCGCTTCTCATACGGCCCGGTGTGCGCGCGGCGTGCCAAACAACCCGTGCGCGTGCGCAGGTCTGGCCACGTCCGCCGGCGGCGCGGGGACACCTACGTGTGGAGCAGCACACACGACAGCAGCTGCATCACCTGCCCCGGCGGTAACTATTAAGACTCTTTACTGAACTTGCGCAGTTTAATTTCAAGTCCTGTGCGATAAAAGTTTTGTATTTTAAGCTACGTCTATGAATGTCAAGAGGACGTAAGTAGTTTCTGAAGCAATGCACAATGTGCGTCGGCACACACCTAATCACGCAATGTAGTATTTTGTTTAGATACGTGTAATGTCCAAAAACTGGTATTTATGCACAAGCTTAATTTATGAAATTTCGATGTCAACACGGTTACTTTGGTTTTCGTGGAGTCTCCTGCCCAATCTCCCACGCTTCCTCACGGAAGCGAAGAGAAAAAAGAAATTTTGTACGGGTTTAAAAAATATATTTAACTGATAGTATTTTATTTATTTCTTCACTCGCTTGACCGCGCCCGACCGACATGACCGCGTCCGGTCAATGCACTACACTACCAAACGCCGGGAGTACAGACTGTCTACCGGCTGGGTCGGTACCCCGCTGGACGGGACGACACCCAGCTAAGCTGGCAGGTAGATCGGCTCCGAATCTCACGCCCAGCAGGGAAAGGAACATCGCCATCGTCCAGGCTATAACACGCACTACATGCATGGCACTAATGAACGCAGTAGTTGTCGCGCCCAGAAACAAATAATGAACCAACGTAATGCGGGATCGTGGGCTTCCGCGGCTGGAGTCATAACTACTTGGCTGTCCGCGTCGTAGGCACTAGTGCCAACTTGGTTCAGCCGCCATGCGACATTGCTCGGGGTGAAACCCCTGAATACCTCAGGGCGATCATTTCACCCAGAGGAAGGCCGTTGGCAACTGTGCCTAGGACTCGGCGTCTCCCGTACATCTAAGCACTTAACAATGTCATGTGGGTTGGGTTGGGAGCGCAGGGCTGCTGAATTGATTGATAAGTGATTCCGAGCGCATCAACTGCTAAGGTCATTAGTCTCGTAAGTGTTGTGCATGCTTCATCGCGGTCTTCCTAAGCTGCATGGCGAGATCCGGCGCTGACCGAAAATTTTCTCCAGCTGTTATCTTCCAGCTCTAGGGCACCGCCATTGCGGAGACAAGTTCAAACGCCTCCGACTAATTTCCGACTTGTGTGGCAGTGTAGTTCACGAGTGTCTGTGTGTAAATAAGTGTAAATAACGGATGAGGATAGGAAAGACCGCGCGCGTTTTGGCGGTTTGTTAGGGTACTCTGCTTCCACATTCACCGGGTGTTGATCGGAGAAACAGCGGAAAACTACAGATCAGATCAGCCGACCGCTAGAATTGTTCTCCAGACAGCGACCGAATTCGACCTAGCTGTCTAGCTAGGGTCGAAAATCCCGCCACCGTCGGGAGCGGAACCCAGGACCCCCTGGCCATGGACAATGCAGTGACATCAACTGATGGCCTGAGCCACTTTTGCCGGCCTTCCTCAGGGCAAAACTTGGCCTGAAATAGTCAGGCATTTTGTCCTGAGGAAGATCGCAGAACGGCGGCCGAAATGTTGGCCCGTGTGCCTGGGACGCGTCGTCTGCCGGTGAGCCACGCAGTTGACAACGCAAGCGGGTGTGTGTGGGTGCGCAGGGCTGCTGGAGAACGGCCCGCCGTGCGCGGTGTTCGTGTGGCCGCGGCCGCCGTCCACAGGCATGCGCGCGCGCCGGGCCCTGGCGGACGCGGCGCGCTGGGCGCTGGCGGCGCTGCGGGTGCTGGCGCTGCTGCACCTGTGGCCCGCCGAGGAGGGCCTGGCGCTGGTGGAGGTGTCGCCGTGCGCGCCGCAGCTGCCCCTCCCGCGCCGCCTGCACCGCGTGCGCCCGCGCCCGCCCTACCGCGTCATCGAGCCCAACTGGGACGCCGGCCCACGACGACGAGCCGCGCGCCGCCGCCGCCGCGCGCGGACGCCGCCATGGACGGCAAGCGGGCCGCCAGGCCCGCCTTCCGCGACGTCGACAAAACGCTGGCCCTCGAGGCGCAGTAGACCGCGCATCTGCCCAGCCGCCTGCGTTCTCCCGCTTCCATCTCGCCGGGGCGGGGCAAATTTCCCTGTTATTTCTGTTTTTGGGCCCGCTTTCCACCTGCAGCCCGCCCCCAGCGCAGACGTCTTCACCGGCCATCCAGATACGTACCACGTGAACGACCCTCGAAAAACTAATTTCATATAAAGATGTAACCAGCTCACCAGGTCCGTCAACAATTCCTAATATCTGAGTGATCTGGAACTACTTTAAATATCTGTGACATAAGTCTGTAGTCACTACTGCTGTGTCCGTATCTGCATCGGTTCTCATCTGATATCGCAGACGCTAGGTGACTTGCTTCATTCGTGTAGATCCTTACCGGTGCAGCGACTTTAAGATCGAAAACGTTTGAGCATTTATGTCAAGTGGACCCCAGATTTGCACTCTTTGAATTGGCGACTTCTCTGCTGTAAACCCAACGAATAGTCATCTCTTGGGGAAACTGTTCATGCAATGAGAATGGTTTGGTTGAGTGGATGACATTATTATAAATCTAAGAACTAACGGACGCCAAAAAAAATGTTACAGCATTGATTGGACCTGTAATGTGAAGAATGAAGCATTTTAATAAAGAGATACCTAAATATGTTGTTTTGGAAAAAAATATTGTTATGAGAATTTATTGGTGCTTCTTTAACATTCATGATTAAATTACTTTACAACATCCATCTGTTCTTTATTCATTCCCTAAATACGTGAAAGTCGTATTTCTGTTCTCAATAACACAAACTAACGTGGTAACAAAGAAGCCTCCACATCGCACATAAAACTCGATTAAATATTAACATCTCAGCTTTATTTATTTAATATTTTAGAGATAAAAACTGTGTGACGTACTATGAAGAGAATTATGTTTATGTACTATTATATTATATTTATATATTATTACATTTATTATTTGTAACAATATTTTAAACCACGACCCATGACTCCTACAGCTAGTAATTATGAATAATTTTCTTTTTCTTTTAGTAAACAATCTACAAATACGCATGTTATATATTTCACGAAATGTGCACACAGAGGCGATAAATAATCCATGCATGTGTAAATTGCTTACTAAAAGAAAAAAACACTTAATGTAGGAATAATGGCATTTTACAATGATGTTGATAAAAACCTAAATATATTTCCTGTTTATTGACGCTTTCTTTTCGTTTAAACACGTGATTTCCTCTTAAAAAACGAAAGTTGAACATTTCATGGAAAAGCAATACTTGGATAACACGACGGATTTGCAAAAACAATCGAATTTTAAGGCAGGTTAAAATCATGAAACACGATCGGGGTATTTTGAACTCAAGTAACAAAACAAAAGTGATATGAAAAAGCAGTAATATAAAATAGCACCACTAGAAATCTTGTAGTGAATGTTGTTTTAAAGTATAATGAGAGAAAATAGAACGATTTGTGAAAGTGGCTAGTCTCTTCAACCAATATTTTTCGAGAACTGTAGGTTATCTCACTTGGGGTCTTACGCCAAAACAATTCAACATCAGACGCTACCACAAACCTTTTCGACGCGCTTATTGATTTCGAAATTTCTTCCAATGAAAGTTCAAAATAACCGGTAAACTAAAAGTTTAATATTCGGTCGGTTTAGATGAATTTCCGGATTGCGTGTTAGTTTTGTTCACCTGCCATTATACACCCGTTAACACATATGCATCCTTATTATTCACGGGAACATTTTCAGATATTTTCAAAATATTTTAGAAAAACTGTTACGTACGTGTTGAAATTTCAGATCGTTAACGTTGATTTAGAAAATCAAAATCTACGGGATAGTTTCCTTTGAGATGCTACCTCATCCATGGCTCAAAATTCACCACGCTTTGGAATAGTTTTAGATCTTTCATAAATCAACCAGAAGCTTCTGATTTTATATCACCTCGCTCCTACCACAGACTTGGATTGCTCACCAGAAAAAAAATTGGACATTTAGCCCAAGCGTAAAACTGGCGATGTTTTTTTCCTTTCTTACCTTGACAGTGTGTTCGCACACAAACGCGCTTGAAACGGCGTCTTTGTCCTGGATGTAATGCAGCTCTTTGCGGGTGATAGAGGGATGTTCCTCGGGCCGGTTCCTCATGAGCACAATCCATAGCAAAAACCACACGGCTGATAAACCAAAAAACAGGTAGAATACGGGCTCGACTCCAATTTTCAGCAGAAGTGCCGAAAGAGATAGGCCGAATACGCTCCCCAAGTGAACGGCTAAAACGAAGAAAGAAGATTATCTAACACTATTATTAATCTTATTATTACGATTATCTAACATTATTATTAATCGAATCGCTGCTCGCCTATTTTACCTTGTTTTTCTTTTCTTTCAATACGTTTCTTTAATATGCCTTCAAATTAAAGTGCACATTTAATATGCGTATTCGTACAGCCTTATAGTGGACGGTACAAATGTCAAAAATTAATTTCCATATTACCTTTTACATAACAAAATCCAATACTTTAAAGAAAAAACTGTTTATCGCCCCTACTAAACAATTGTATAAATTTATTTTAAAGAAAATATATTTACACTACAATTTCGTAGAAAGTTGTGAGATATTCTAAATCATTGTAAGTGATTGCTGTTTTGTTTCACTGTTATTAATTTGTGTTTCTCTTAAAGTTTTCTTTTACCAAAATATTCTTCGAAAACTTTTGTTGCTGTTATCAATCTCACATCAACACCAACGTTCAACAATGACACTATATTAATTAGATCGCTGGTAAGATATATACCTTCTAATAATTAAATACTGTAAATTAAAGGTGTTGTCTGGTATCAAAAATTTATTTCGCTAATGATCGTTTCGATGGCGTTGCGATCACCCTCGGAGCTAAAATTAGAATTATCGAAATAAAATTATATTAATACATGAAATATAAAAAATTAGGGATAATTTAATACAAAATATTATTTATAAATTATAGGCATTATATACCAGACACAGGAGCAAATTGTGTCGTACATACCTTGCAGCTTCATTATGCGGGGTCTATGCTCAACTTGCAACAACTGCAATGCCATATACATAGGACAACCAGGCCGAAAATTCTCACAGAGAACACGAACAAACATAGAAAAACACCACCACAGTCTCACACGTCGCGAATCACTTAAATTTAAACACATTTGATAAACACATAAATTTCCGAATTCTAGAAATTGAAAACAGGAACTGGATCAGAATAAAATTACAATCCCTACATATACACAACATCCTCAAAAAACAGAGCATGACTTGTCTTAACCTACAAATCACTGAACTCTCTTCACCTCTGCGAAAATTAGCACAAAGTGTACTCCCCTAACCCATCCCTAACTCCACTCTTCTGCCTTCGCTCGCCTGACTCCTCTCGCCTCCACCCCCACCCCCACGTCTTACGACCCTTTTCCCCGCACCCCACTCCTCTCCTCGGCCCCTCCCGCGGCCAACCGACGTTCTGTTTTTAAACAAGATACACACTCAAAAAACCGCAGAACTTTGTTTTCGGCCCGAAGCTGCAAGGTATGTTTGATCCAGTTTGCATACGCATCTGGTATACAAATTCTGTATATGTTGTAAATAATATTTTGTATTAACTTATCCCTAATTTTTTATAATTCATATATTAATATAATTTTATTTTATAATTCTAATTTCAGCTCTGAGGATGATCACTACGAGATCGAAACGTTCATTAGCAAAATCATTTTTTATATCACACAAAACCTTTAATTTACTATATTTAATGACACTATAATAAAACCACCATTCAGCATACGGCACGATATCAGTCCTAGTGAATAAATTGGCTAATTTTATTTAAAAAAGTATATTTACATTACATTCTCGTAGAGAGTTGTTGGGTATTCCAATTTATTGTAACTGATTACTATTTTGTTTCATTGTTATTAGTGTTTCCTTTTAATTTCCCTTTTACCAAATATTATTTCATGAATACTTTTGTTAGTGTTATCAATCTCGCTTAAAAACTGATATTCAACTTGAAGTGGCACTATATTGTGTAAACCATTCAACACATGACACGATATTGTGTAAACTTTTCGCTTACATGAAAAAACTGCACCGGAGAAACTGGTACGTTCCTGTGGTGGGAACCAATTTGAGAAAGTGGTGTGCAAGGCCGGAATCACCACGCCCTGTAAAGGGAAAGCATATTCACAAACATGTCTGAATTTTTAAAAAAATATGTTGTTGAAGAATTGTCTCGGTGGGGGAACGCACTCCATATCTGTCCTTGAAGCCTATACGTAGATTTCTATCAAGACTCAGCGGTACCGCTCATCCTCGACTGTTCTTGTTCTGTGAGCAATTTGTTATTGTCGAGACAGGACTTCCATGCAAATACATGTTTTTATTTAAGCTTCGTAGAGCTTTCAAACTTCGTAATTTTGTTCGTAATCTTCCTTGGCAAACTCATGATAAAAATGCATACTTTTTCCGTGCATGTTTGCATGTATTGGTAGTTCTTTGGATACATTTATGCACAATGCATGTTTGGACATTTTTTCAATTAATACTGCATATTTAGAAACTATCTACTATATTATGCCATTTTATTAAACTCTTTATGCATATTTTGCTATTATTAAAATTGACGATTATTTTGTATAAATAGCATATTATAGAACTTGATAGTACGCCATTGTCTTCGCGTACTGTTATATAAGAAATGTTAACGTGCTAGGATTTGTGAAGCGAGTGAACGTGGTATGAGCCACAATCGCAAAATCAATCAATGCCAAGCGAATAAGTCACAAAGGATAATGATGGTAGGAAGGCGTAACTCAAAATCACTTGTTAAATGGCAATGGAAATGAATAATAATACAGTGCGACATTAAATTTGCTGCAGAACAAAAATATGTAATTGTTATGTAGTTCAGTGCCCTGATGACAACAGTGACATTTTTCGCTATCACCTAAACTTTCTTCTGGAAACGCAATTTTATCTGCCATCAGTTGCGGTTATTTATGTTGTCATCACTTATCACATTCTGTTAGTGTAGGAGTATTATTGCCTAGTGTTGTGATTGGTGAGGGGAGGGTAAAATAAACACTTGGAATAGGAAAAAAGGAAGTTGCACTTGCATCAGTCAATCTATAGTGTGTTCACTCAGTATCTATTCTTGAAGTGCGTAAATCAGCTAACGTGAAGAATATTGTTTGTGCATGTTCTTGTGTTTCTTATACCATAGCCCGCTAGTATGTTAGTATGCTAGGCATACTAGCGGGCTATGCTTATACTCAGTGATGAAGGAAAGTCTGGATATTCACCAAATATCTATTATTTCTATTATTTGTGTGGCCAGTTTACGACCAAGTCTCAAAGACATCCCATTTCTTCGATCGCCAAACAGACACAGGAGTTGTATTTTGAATAGTGGGTTAATGAGGATAAGAAGTGTTGGTCACCACTGAACTGTTGTTCATGTTGCTCCCGCTATTTAAGAGCTTGGTTGCATGGAACTCACCATCTATGCCATTTACCGTGCCACACCTGTTGAGAGAACCTAGAGACCACATTACAAATAACTACTTTTGTTTAAGAAAAGTAACAGGAACCTCAAGTAAATCAAAAGACAGTTTCGTACCCAAATTTGGAATCTGTAATGCTCCCAGTCTGCATTCTGATTCTCTCCCAGTTCCAAAAACATCAAAGGAATGGAAAAATGAAAAATAACACATACTAGTTTGGTATATTGTAATAACATAAATGGGCTGCTTAACAAAATTTGTATGATTCACAATCGGAAAGAGTGGTGTCTATTTATAGATTCCTCAATTCGTACTCGTAGTCTCAAAGCCATTCTCATACATAATGGAAACGAGAAACCTTATCAGTGGCCCTTTCGAATATGTTAAACGAAAATTACGAGAACATGAGGCTACACCTGAAGTATACTGGCTATTCAAATCACAAATGGAAAATCTGTGCTCATCTCGGAGTTCTGGGACTTCTAGGAATACAGACTGCTTACACAAAATATTGCTGTTTCTTGGGCCACTGAAATAGTAGGGCAAGGAAAGAACATTATATAGTCAAACAATGGTCTTTGAGAGAAATTTTCAATCCTCATGAAAAATGTGTCGCATATATCTCTAATTGACGAAAACAGTGTGATGTTACCACCACACCATCTAAAATGTGGGTTTATGAAGAATTTTATGAAACAAATGGCGAAGATGGCCAGGGTTTTCAATTTTTATTATCTAAATTTCTTACCATTAGTACTGAAAACCTTAGGTGAAGGAATTCTCATCGGGTCTCAGACAGCTTGGCTTGCATTGAAAGATGTATGCAACAATGTCTTGGGAAACATAATGTCTGAGAATTACAGGGAACTTATTGAACATAACTGAAACACATGCTGAAATGTTTCAAGACTTTGGGGTGTAGCCTGTCTCTGAAATTATATTTCCTTCATTCCCATTTAGAGTTATTCCCACCTAAACTTGAAGATGTGAGTGACGAACAAGGTAAGCGATTTCATCAAGATATCGCAGCCATGGAAAGACGTAAGGGAAAGTGGTCATCAAATTTTTTGGAGGATGCTGGACACTCCTACAACAATTATCCCCATCCACTCACAAATGGAAAGTTTCCAGAAAAAGTTTCTTACTTGTAAATACATTTCAATCTTTATTCAACCTTCTCGTACTATTTTCATTGTTTTGAAATACAAACCATTAATTATGCAAATAATATAATATAAACAATTTTTGAAATACAAATACTTTTTCTTACATAATCTGTAGATTAAAACACTACTATTCCTCCTGTCTTGTTATTAAGTCATTTCCAAGTTTCTCGAAAGTGGTATATGTCGCGTGTCTTTTCCAGAAAAATTGGTACGTGATGGAACATTACTAATTTCATTTTCGCAATCAGCGTACTTTCATCTCGCGGCAAGACACAAAGTGCAAAATTGTTACACTATGTAATCAATAGTACACTCTCAATCTGCTGTAAAACGAAGTAAGTTTCAAAGTCATACCTGTAAAAAAGTACAATTTTTTTTTCAATTCTTGTGGCAATTCAGGTATTACAAACAGCAGATTTACCTCTTGTGGAGTCATTAAAATGCGTTGATGACATTAAAATGTTTCTTGAAATTAGTGTTTGGAGATATGAATGTTAAGGAGAAATTATGCAATGAAATCAATTCAAATCCTGATTTGAAATATATCCAAAATGTAAAAATACATTATTTGTTGTAAAAAATAAGAAATGCAGAATTCGGTTAGATTTCATCTTTGAAATATGCTCCAATTCGGACTCGTGATGTAAGAGCATTTTATGAATTCAAAGACTTTTTTTGACAAAAGGATGAATTTATAAATTATAAGTAGTAATAAAAGTATTCAGATCAGAAAATTATATTATTCCGCATATTATTGGTAACGTTTTGACAAAAACCGAAAATTATTATAAAAATATTAAGAATATTTTTCATTTTTACATTTGAATAATCTCGGATTGTTGAATTACTTTGGAACACAGCCGAAGAGCATTCAGTACAAGTGGAAGTTAGCATTTATTTCGTTCACTTTAAGTGTAATTTTCTATATATTTCTCTTTAGGGGTAAGAAGTACCAAATTAAATTTTGTTTGTATTATAATGACAAGGTCGCCTATTTACTGCTGTCATATTTTATAGATTTAACACGGTTGTCATGAAATTAAATGATCCTCGTAGAAGTTCTAACGCTATGTTGTCTGGTTACCACTACTTATGACATAAAGTAGGTGCAAATCCGTAAGAGTTAAATTGTACCAGTCTTTGACAAAGAAATTGATGTGCAATGTGATATTCGGTAATTGAAAAAAATGTGTGCGTTCGTCTGTAATTGGGAATGACTTCTCTCGACTGATAACTTTTATTCATTTATAGATTATTATTACTTGGTATCAGAGTTTCGATTAGATATGAAGCGTTCAATTTACCCAGTAATGAACTTCAAATATCTAAAACGTAATATACGTCATTCTAAATGAAGATATTTCAATCCATCAGGTGAAAATGTCCAACTCAAATCAATTAGAGCCGCATTATTAATAAGAACCATGCTGTCAGGTTTTGTGAAATGTCAAAACGTCCACACAATCATGACGAGAGTTCTGAATATTGACGATAAACTGAACGGCGTGATAATGACGCCGATCTTACTATTGTTTCAAATAGAGTTACAATGAGACGTAGTAGTGTTAGTACAGATAGGATATAGTTAAATTGTTGAGTGAAATAATTTGAACGGTAATTAGTAAACTGTTAGTATTTTAAGTATTTAGTGCAAGAATCGTGCGCTGAAATGGATAGTTGCTGAACATTTTTGACATTTGTCAGTAAGTTGTAAGTCACTCTACACTGGCCACTCGACCATCTTAGAAAAAAAGCATTCTTTCTGTATAAATTCCCATATCTTTTCACAATTCGTTTCAACGGTTCAAAGCCGCTTTCAATTGTTTTACTTTCACGCATACTACACACGTATTTTAGATATGGTATGTAATGCTCCAGCAACAACGGCGGTTTATCAGCAGAAAAATTCTTTGCCTCCTTCACTTCTTTAAAATCGCATTTCCACTACTAAGGTCACGCAGCGACTACAAGTAGGGCTCAGCGATTATACTGGATTTGTAACTTTGGGGATAACGGTAATGGTGGAGGATCTCGCATGCTCGTTTAGGAACACACCAACCTCCAAGCCCCGAGCTGGATTCTAACCCACCACCCTTCAGACCCGTCTATCCGTCCGTCCGTCTGCCTCTCCGTCCGTCTGCCCGTCCGTCCATTTGCCCCTCCGTCCGTCTGCCCCTCCGTCCGCCTGTCATCTGCCCGCCCGTCCTTCTTGCCCACGCCCGTCCGTCTGCCCGCCCGTCCGTCGTGCCCGCCTCGTCCGTCTGCCCGTCCGTCCGGTCTGCCCGTCTTTATTATGGCCCCTCCGTCCTGTCTGCCCTCCATCCAATTTGCCCGTCCGTTCGTCTGCCTCTCCGTCCCGTCCGTTTGTCTGTCCATCTGTCCGACCGTCCGTCTGAAAGGAGGATTTTCTCCAAAATTATATTCCAGGATCGCTCTGACTGATGTTCGTAGAGTCCTTGATACGAAACAGGTTATATATTATTGAGAGTTACATTA